TCCGAGTCGACAATTTCTCTTATGTTCAGAGAAATAGGTTAGGTTAGGTCAGGTCCAAAGTGAGTGGGTCAATTCGACCCTTTACCGCAACCCGCAAAGGTTCATTGTGGCTCACACCTCTGCACACTCGACCAAAGCCGGCTCTGCCGAACTCTACAACTGATTTGGCCCCCCCGATGGGCAGGCACAAAGTATATGCTCTGCTGTTTCATCATTTTCCAAACACTGTATTCCGACAGTCCGAGTCTCTGCATATGATGATTCAAATGACAGTGACCTGTAAGAAGAACTGTTATGCATCGTGGTTCATCTCCACTGTAGTCCAACAACTGTTTGGTATCAAGCTTCGAAGGGTGAATAAACGCCTTGGAGTGACCAATCCTGGAAGATTCTGCCAGAAGTTCATACATCTTGTTGCCATCCAGGTATTCAATCTCTGTTTGGCAAAGCCTAAAGCGATGTAAATGGCACGTTCTGGTCCGATGAAGCTGCTTGCAGCATCTTCCTTTGCAAGCGAGTCAGCAGCCTCATTGCCTTCCAGGCCAGTATGGCCAGGAATCCAGACCAAAGACAGTGTTAGGATTTTCTATCGAGGAGAGTTGTTTTTGGTAATTTGCTACCAATTTAGACGTTGCTCGGTAGGAACCAAGAGCGTCCAACGCCGCTTGACTGTTCGAGAATATTTCTATTGACTTGTTTATGAGGTTGCATTTTTCCAATCTCTCTACACACACAATTCAGTAGCGTAAATTCCAGCTTGAAATATAGTCGCGTAGATCGACCCGCTGCCACAAGTAATTCGGTCTACCACGGGTGTTGCTGAAAGTTCTCTGGGGTCTTTAGTCAACTTTGAACTTTGTCTGATGGTTTTTTGGCCTGAATATTTGTTTCACATCGTGTTTCTTCAAAATTCCTCCAATTCATTCCCTAACATTTTCAACATAGAGAAGGAAAGTATTACCTTTGACCAGCCTAACTGAGATTACTTTGGCTTTCTCTCTGGTGGTCAGCTCGAATTATCCTTCTAAGAAGGCTAGAATCCTTTGGGTTTCTCATTTCACTGTGAATTGGATTTTTGGTTATTGACATTATCAAAGACCCTCGTTCCTTTCTCTAGAGTGATGCTAAGTCGAGTTTCCTGAATTGGGCAATAAAATTTACATTCCTTGACTTTGTTCTTTCGTCATTTTGCCAAAAATTAACGGGCGATGACAATGATTTCAGAAAGGAACATTCTGGTGAAATGAAAGTTGTTTTTCTGTGGAATTGAAATGGATTAATGGAGGTACGTTGCATGTATTGGAAGAAGGTGTGATTTCATGAGGTTGTATCATTGCATGTGGCCGTATATTTCGAATTTTGTCTTCAGATTTTTGATCAGTAGATGAAAATATGTTGGACTAATCAAATATTTCTCGAAACCAGCCCGAGCCCAAAAAACCATAAGATAGAGGACATAACTATATTTAATGCAGGTTATGAAAGGTATGTTCAGGAAATGACGAAAGTTTTAAATTTTTGGAAAAATTTCCATTTAAATATTCATCGGCTTTGATGTTGTCGTCTCTCAAACGACAATCTTTGGCATAGCCTGAAGCACGTTTCCATAAAGATTTGTAAGCAATTCCATGGCAATCAATTTTCGAAATCGATAACATTGATGATAAAGTGTAGTATTTCACAGAACAAATCTTACTTCTATTCGAAGTACATGTACCTATTAGAAAAGTACGACAAAGGAAAAATTATAAATACTCTCCCTGGATAACTGATAATATAAAATATATGCAACAACTAAGAGATAAGGCATTAAAAAAATTCAAATGCACTAAACAAATCCATCACTGGGACTACTACAAACAATTGAGGGATTATATTACTTGCGCAATAAAATCTGAAAAAAAAGCATTTTTGATGTAGCACCTACACCAAACACCCTGTATATTTAAAAGTTATATCAAAATATAGCTCTCATGAACTCCTAAAACTTTTGTATGAAACATTTTTGTGTATCTCCTTCAACAAACCAGATATTGCCTGTCACATAAAATGTGGGACACCCGGTATATACAATATCCCGAATATTTCATGAATATTCTACGGGTTCTATTCCTGGAATATTTTCAATAGTACATATTCTGAGAATATTTCAAGATATTCCAAGAATGTTTCCCAGGAATGGTTGAAGAACATGTTTCGAAATTTCAGTTGATGCTTTTACACTTATGAATTGAATAAATAAATTAAGAGTTTTGTGTGGCGTCATGGAATTTTATGGAAATAAATGATGAAAAAAGTGAAAATTCACAGATTCTCATTGTGCTTTATTCCATTTTCCCCTATGGAATATTCCGATCACTTCACAACTTGATATATTCAATATAAATAAGCTACTGATCCGCCTCTGCTTTTGTCTGTCACACCTTCAAGTCGTCCATAATCATCTCTGCAGATGGAAGTTACTGCTGCAAATCCATCCGGTTTTGAGAACGTTAATTCGTGACCTATTTCTTGAAAACCATCAACAATATCTGGTTTCTGAAAAAAAAAATTTTAATGATAGGTATGTGGTAAAAAAATATACATGAAATCGCTAATCATGAAGTGCTACAGGGCAGAGCGCGACCTTCGAAGCGCTACTTAAAGGCACGTGCCGCTGATCTCCCGGCCGGTACCACCGCAACCGTAATGTTCTTGCATTTTAAATCAGTAATGTCTAAGAAGATATATATTCAAATCACATGCTGTGAAGGGTCATAATTTTCTATATTGAATGCACGATGTTTTTGAGGTAATCAATGGGATAAGGATTATTGTATTGCTTAAAATCGCTTCGGTAGTGAGCTATTATTTATCGAGGATGAAAAATGATTATTGTGGGTTAGATAGACATATACCATCGCGAACTTCTTTGTAGACCTTCCGAAGGAGTACAATTCTGTAGCACATTTTTTGATCTCGTAGGGTATAGGCAGCGTTTGCAATGTATGTATGCGGATATTGTTCCCAGATCTGTTTTACTTGGGCCCAATCCCTATTATCCTTCATCACAGTCCTTTGATGTAGAGAAGTACAAGTATTGGTTGTGACGGCTTCTATTTCTTGTGAGGCTCTTTCTGTCTTTCAGTAAAAGTCTGTCCCACCATCACTTTGGAGTTACCATTCCGTTGAAGATCTTTTTTGACCTAGTTTTTTGCCGAGACCTTCTTTCGTATCACAGATCCCGAAAGCATGGTCTATTAGAGTCTTGATGATTCCCTTCTGGTAGATGGATGGTGGTTGGATTTGTGAATCAGATTCTGTTGATTTGCTTCAGAAAGGTGTCTAGTTCTGTATCCCCATGTTTCCATATTATGGAGGTGACGTCAACGTATCTCAAACAGGCTCGAGGTTTCTTGTGAGCATCTTTATTGGCCAGAGTTCCCAACCATTCCATATATATGTTGGCTATAACTGGTGGAAGAATTGGCAGTCCCTCATCTTGCGCAATGAATTCGTCCTTTAGTTGGAAAAAGTAGTTCCGTACAGAGCATCCTAGTAATTCTATGATCAATTCTATAGATGAGTTCTTTCTATCTTCCTATCTATCTCTTTTTCTTTCTTCTTCACTTACGTAATCAAGGATAACTAACCATCGCGGACATGTGATGTCGAATATAAATGAAAGAATTCTTCATTGAACACTTTGTGAAATATAATGTTGTGTCATTGTTTGCGAATTTATATCTTGCAATAATATCACATGACTAACAATTAGCCATTGGAAAACATCATTTCAGTATCTGTTTGAAAATAGTTTTTCAGTGGAAGTAGTTGAACGGACAACATAACTGTAGAACAAGTTTAGCTTTCAGACTAGTTAATAGGCAATTCAGAGTGAGATTTAGTTTTATGAATTTAGTCAAGATCCCTGTCATGAATATTTATTTTTTCATGGGGGTAATAAATTATATTGATTGATTGAAAATATATATGTAACATAGGTAAAATATGAAAAAGGCTTACGGTTCTTAGAAACATGTTTTCTAGTTGTAGACTCATCGGAAAGAGCTGGTGGTGGATCCTCTCCTCATCTGTCGCATCTTCCAAATTATAACGGTAATATAGGCGATTGATGATAACCTGAAATAATGTCTAAACATTAATAACTGAAAATGAGGAATTAACATTTAGTTTCTTTGAAACTGGTCAAACCTTGAGAGGTCAATGAACATCTTTTTGGTAATTGCATTCAACAGTTGCCACACACAGAAAAGTATTTACAAAGGAACAATATCACTGAAGATATCGTCTATTTAAAAAACTCCTTCAGATCGATGGAACAACCTTATGTAGATACAGGCAATGCTACAGTGGAAGCTTCCACGTAGCTTTCTCTGAGCTATATATGAATCCTGCACTGAAAGATCTATCAAAATGAGAAAACCCCTTCGAAAACATCAAATGTGGAAGACCAGAGAAGTTATCAGTCGCCCATTATATTTTGTAACAGAACTCTTCCATAGACTTCTGTTCATTAGTTAGAAAAGTAAACAAAAACAAGCATTTAGATGGCTATGACACTGTAAAAATAAGTAAACATAATGATATCATCAATAAAGATGGTAAACCAACACCTAATACTATACTATAAAGCTTGTTGAAATGATATTTCATTCATCTGATTCACCTGACTATCAGATGAGGCAACATTTTAAAATTAATTCAAGACTAGTAGATAAGGCAACATTGTAAAATTAATTAATGACAATTTAGACGCAAATTTCACTTTTTTTTCAAATACCTGACGAACCAGCATGGTTTCATGAGAAATTGAAGCACGGAAACAGCTTTGTATGATTTCATATAACACGTAGTAACAGCCTTGGATAACAAACTACAATTTTTGGTTTGTTCATCGATTTTTCTAGAGCATTTGACTGTTTTGATCACTATGTACTGATCCAGAAAATGCATCACTATTGGGTTCATGGAGTTATCCAAGATTGGATGAGGTCCTATCTAGAGAACAGGACACGATCAGTGATAATCCAAGGTGTTCACAGTCAGTCCTTGGCCTGCAAGCAAGGAGTTTCAGAGGGGTCTATACTCGGACTACTGCTTCTTCTTATTTATGCGAACGACTCGATACAATATCTAAATAGGCTTCCGAAGTTACATACAGTTGCATATGCCGACGATACAAATGTTCTGGTTACTGATCGTGATACATTAGCACTTGCATTACTCCTCATATAGATTCACTATGTGTGAACTACGAAATAACTGTTATGCACTGAGATTTATGTCGAATCATTGTGGAAGAGGGGTTCTCCTAAATCAGTATTATGCAACTATTGGCTGTCATTTGCGCTATGAATTGGGGTGTGAGCTCCTCTGCTGAAATAGTATTTATTTTACAAAAGCGTGCGGTTAGAATGATTCCTAGTTTAGGATGTCGACACTCATGCAGAAGATCATTCAAAGAGCTGGAAATACTCACAGTTGCTGGTCTGTTTATATATGAGAAGTATCTTTACGTTCATAAGAGTAGAGAAAAAATTTTGCGCAAACGAACAAGACCACCCATAGGCAACTAGAGCTAGAGGGTTGCTGATAGCAAATCCTCACCGAACCTCTATCAGAAGAGTCACCTATACCTTGGAACCAAACTATTTAACAAGCTAGATGTTTCTATTGAGGACTCAATGAATATCTGCATATTCGAAAGACAATTGAAAAAACTGCTACACCGTTGACGAGTTGTAATAGTTACTCTCGATAAAAAAATTGTTATTAACCTTCATATGTCCAGGTTAGTATCTGTCATGTTTTGTCATATATTCATTTGTTTTTAGTTGTTACTGTATGTAAATGTTCATTATAATGTTTTCATACTGTTCAACAAGTGAATCATTAGTATACAATATTCTAGCAGTTGAAGAATCAATTCACCTGAAGGACATTGGATATAATTTTGCTACCACCTGCTCCACCAATAACCATATATACGTAGCCGTTATTTAATATGATTGAAGGACACATGGATGACATTGGTCGTTTACCAGGTTCTATGTAATTTGTAGGGGAAGATGGAAAACCAAATACATTAGACTCGCCCGGGATTGAGAAATCATCCATTGAATCATTCAGGATGATACCTGTGCTTTCCGACATGAATTTTGCTCCAAATCTGTTAATAAAAACACTTTCGTTGAGAGAAAATTTCAAAAGAATATTTGTGACAGTAGTGTGATAATCGATAAACAATAATCATACTAGAAAATTGGGCAGAACAACCGAATTATTCACCTTTTTGGAAGTTAGTAACGTAGGGTTATACTCCAGAAATTTGAAAATTTATGTAGGAAGCTATATATTTAGTAACGTTTCATGAAGTGCTAGTTGCAACTTATTCAGAAAGATTCTCAGTTCAGTCTGCAAGTTGTATTCGGGATACCTATTGTCGTAAGATGACGCTGTAAAACTCAAGGAAACTGAAGAGATTATCAAGATTCAATATCTTGAATTTCTCTTAGGAATGAATTCGTCATGAATCATTCAGAAATGAAAGCTTCAAAAGTATTGTTGGCGGAAATAATGTGTAATTTTACAAAAATATTGATCTACACTTGCAAAGTTCTTTGGAAAAAATCCTATTATACAGTTGATGTTCTTTTGCTTCAAATACCAAGATCCTGAACTAGTTGTCAAAATTAATAAATTCAAAAGGGGTGAGCTGTATACTTCTTGTTGATCATTGAGGGTTTTGAAATTGGAGTTTTTATACAATTCATTAATTTTCAATGCTTCCGAAAAATGCATCAATTTTTCTTTATTGCACATATGGAATTTTTTATGTTTTCTTTGTGGTTTGCTTCTTGTAGATGTCCATATATAGCTGGATAATACATATGCTCCCGATATCTTATGTTGAAATTTCTGCTTGTCTGGCCTGCATAAGCTACAGAACATTCACTACATTCTTGTCTGTATATGCACAATTTCTTCCATTTATCCCTTTTGGGTTTTGCGTTGAATAACATGATCCGTGAAAAATCCTTACTAGTAAATGATGTAATTATTATAAATTTTCAAATATGGCTTTTCAAGTTATTGGAGAGCTTTCCCCAAAAGCTTATGCTAGCATTTTGATAAAATAAATGAAAGCACGTTTGTCTAATTACCACTAGTTGATTTTATTTATACGACCGGTATAAAACTGAGATGTGAAGTTTGAACACTCGGATTTACCAGGAGTAAGGACTTGTATTGGATAGAGAGGTAGTTGGGCGAACCAGGATGCCAACATTAAAATTTACCACTGAAAATTCTAGGGGTTGTTTAACTTAAAAATTCAAGAGAGGAGACCTACATAAATCGAGTTGCTCATTTAGGGGTATATATTTCTGGATTTCAATTGATTTCTCAATTTTCATGGCTTCCAACAAATTCATTTCATCCCTTTGTTACATATGTGTAGGATTTCGACGTTATCTTTATTTATCTTGTATTTTGATCCTTGAAGATGTTCGTACATTGTAGATTTTTTGTCCAAACAGACGTGTTCACGCAGCCTTATGTCAAAATTTCTAACAGTTTGGCCTGTACATACTGCAGAGCATTCAACACACTCTATTTATACAGGGTGTAACTAAATAAGTGTAAAACATTTAGGTTGGTGATAACTCATCGAAAAATAGATAGGATCTTTCATATAAAGAAATTTCATTAGAGCATCCCTTGTTAAGATACAGCCCCTTAAAGGAGGAACATAAAATCTGTATAACAATTTTTTTCACAAGCAATAAAGAAGTTACAATATTGAAATTAACCTGACGTTTTGTACTACCAAAAAGACACTCAGCCAGAAATTTATTTGGTTTACCCCATGGTTGTAAGGGGTGGAAAACGCAATCCCTAAAATTTATTTTCAATGTAACTTTTTGTCTTATTATTTGTTTACCATTTAAAATTTCATTTCCGATAGACTGTTTCATNGTGCCACACGACCCCCTTTGCTATTTAAAATTTTCGAGGGGGTGCTTATAATTCAGAAGGGGTGCTGGAGGGGGATAATATTTTCATACTATAAATTGTCAATTTAGGAATAAAAATCGACATGTTTCAGGTTTTTTTCACATAGTACATAATAACGCTAAAGATGAATTTATTCCATACATATAGACAGCACTGTATGTCTATGTCTGGCTATAAATGCATTTTGAAGTTGATTATGGTACGTGGAGTTCGAGGAACTTTGAAATGACTCTGAAATGTCTCGTCAACTGTATTGAATGGGAATAGAAATTAGTAACTTCTCAAATGATCGATTTTATGCACTCACATATAATTTATACTGCTGGTTACCGAAACTACATCACCATTCGGAGCCACAACGCATATGTGGCTGGTTCCATGATCGTTTTTGTTTTCTGTAGAAGCTCCATAGTATAACGGATCTTGTGATGTTCTATTGTCGAATATCTTCTTTCTCTTCTCAACTGCATATTTAATGGATGTTATGTTGGCCAATATCTGTAACGTACATTCATTTGAGAGAGTGTAAACTTTCACGGCTGGAAATTATTGTGTCAAAGCCCTTCTCTAGGTTTTTTTGGTCGGGCTCTGTAGGTTTTCAAATTTTATAAAACAACAATTCGTTCAGGTCAGTCTCAACTTATCTGAACTGTAGGGTGATGGACTGGTACCTATCAGAAAACAACTACTCCTCTGGCTAATACCTGGAATATATTCGACAGGTGTCAGTGTAGTTATTCCTGCATATGCTGTTGGGGATACAACTGCCGCAATAGATTTTCAATTATTGGAACACACTTGCAGACCGATTTCTGGCTGTTTGGCCACTCGTCAGTGCAAGGTGGTGTCTATCATCAACATGAAGTCTATCATTTCCGATAATTGAAAATCGAATTCGTTCAGAGTATCAAAACTTGGAAAATGGTTTTGACAATCACATTTATTTTTCGATAAGAATTGACAGAAGATATAATATATTTATAATAAAAATAATAATAACAACACATGCTATCGGGATGAAATTCGGGATAGACAAATGTGCAATGGTCCATCTCAAAAGAGGACGATGTGGGGACTACGGAGAGGATGTGCAGCTCGTAGATGGAAGCGTTTTACACCATCTGGATGCCGGAGAGATGTATACTTACCTCGGGGTGGAACAACGCCACTCACAAGAGGTAACAGCAGTGAAAAACTCTCTCCGCGGCGAGTATCAGCACAAACTTTGACAGATCTGGTCATCGGAACTCTCGGGGAAGAACAAAGTTCCTGCAACAAATATGCTTGCCGTTCCAATCTTACTCTACTCGTTTGGAGTAGTGAAGTGGACTCGGGAGGAGCTGTATCAACTCGACGTAAG